ATGGTCCCTTTATGAAACCCCTCTACTCAACATCTGGTCCACGTTGCAAGTGATTTACAGCGCATAGAGGCTCAAAACCACTTTTTCACTCCTTTCTTGATATTCCCAGATCCCAGAGCAAAAAGAACGTCTGTTTGATAGTCCATGCACGTGTCCCTATATCAAGAAAAAAAAAAACACTTTCAAAAAGGGCTCCACATCCTGAACGACCTCCCTGGTCATAGTGAGCTGAGCGTCTAGGATTATTAAAGATTTTGAGAAGTGACCACTGTAAGAAAAACAAGAAGAGAGAAAAAAAAGAAAGGCCGAGGAAGCGAATGTCGGGGATTTGTCTGCGTAACATGGATGATGTACCTTGAAGATTTCCGCTGCTGGGATTGATCTGTCATTACTGCGACGCTATGAGTGTTTTTCGTCACGTACATAGTGAACTTCTTGTAGTCGCCCAACTGACCAACAATTCGCACGCTACAACCAGAAGGTGGGGCGGATCCATCAGCAAGTAAGCACAACAATCTGAAAGGGCATAAGAGGGATGTACAACGAGAAATATAGGGAACTCGACCTGATTACTGAAATTTTCTTACTTCGATTTGGTCGAGAGTGCCTTGATTGATGGTGCACTTCTCCTCACACACGAATATTTCGGCGTCTTCCATCCTATCGAAGTTTGAACCAAAAATCTCCCACTGTGTGTGGTTATCATTACGGTTGGCCTAACGAAAAAGAAGCATTGACAAGTAGCACTGTGAATATATTGCACAATCTCACTTAAAATGTAGAAAAAAAGAGCAAAACAGAGTAAAAATAATATCCCAATAATACGTAAGCTCGGTGTTGTCGGTGTTCCACTCTCATTTCCTTTAACGCTGGGCCGTGATTTCATCTCTACGCTCTTCCTGTGCAATGTGAAAATTATAAATCCCTCCTCGACCATCACCTGGGCGCGTTTCTTTAGCTTTGCGTTCATAATTCAACCAAGCTTCGCTCGAATCTTGGATCGTTCTTTTCTGTGGTCATGCCAGCTTGACAAATACCCTATATGTGCTAGTTCCCTATCTATACAAACACTCCCCGATCCGGCCCCCTGTTGTCACTCTACATGTCTGCACATTTCGACTGAGATGGCTCAATTCTTCTGAAGCCGGGAACTTGCATATATTCACAAGGTTTCGCAACATTGCAGTAAAAAGTCCCAACTTGTCCTGAAGCTTTCCGAGCAGTGAGATGGAAAACGAGTTTAGTAACTCAAGGGGAATAGGTGTGCTAGTAACGCTCGCTTTCAACGTTTTCACCTCAGATCCATTGACATTGTCATCATACAAGGAAATTGTAATTAAGGTAAAGAAAGATGGAGCCTTCGCCATTCAATCCCTTCTGGGGTTCCACTTCTACTCTGAACCGTGCTGACTCAATGAATGCGATAAGGCCCATTATGCTCCTTGCGGGCTAAAGCCCGGCATCACGACGACAGCGTCGTAAAAACTCACACAGCAGCAACGGTCATTCTTAGAAAAACTGCCGAAATCAGAAATGGATGGGAAGAATATTTTGGAGGAATCCTGAACGAAGCAATTCCCCGCAAGGACAGCCCACATGTGAAGGCGACGGCAGGTCCTATCTCAACCTGGATAGAAGATGAAGTCTGCCTAGAAGTAGGAATAACAAAGGGTTTGGAAGGCAGTAGGTGCATATGGGGTAGAGACAGAGGCATGGATGGCTCTTGGGGAAGCAACGTGGCTCACTCACATACTGAATAGTGTAACGCGTAAAGGAAGAATGCCAGCTGAGTGGAGGACCATAACTGTCCCCGTGGCAGAACAGAAAGAAGGCGCTCCAACAACCGCGGCATCAAACTGACTTCGCACACCATGAAGCCGTACGACGGGCTATTGGACACAAGGCCAAGGGAATTGTCCCTGTCTAGCTTCTTGCGTCCAACAATCTGGTACTGAAACTCTTCAGTTTGACCACCCTGCGGAATTATCCTTTGAGCTGTAATAAATATTAGGTTGGCAACTAAGTAATTGCGGATTTTTTAGAATATCAATGACAATTTTTTCATGGAACGAAATAATTTTATTCTGTAATGTATTGCCCATTTTTATCAATGACCTTTTGCCATCTTTCAGGCAGCATCATAATCCCACGTTCATAAAACTTCTGGTTTTTATTAGCAAAAAACTGAATCAGGTGCGATTTGACATCATCATCATTATTGAAATTTTTACCATTCAAGGAGTTTTGTAAAGAGCGAAACAAAAAGTAATCTGATGGTGCAAGGTCAGGACTATATGGTGGATGTGGCAAAACATCCCAACCAAGCTCCAATAATTTTTGCCGAGTGGCCAAAGATGTGTGTGGCCTTGCATTATCATGATGGAATACCACACCTTTTCGATTTGTCAATTCGGGCCGCTTTTCTTCAACAGCATTGTTTAATTTCGTTAGTTGTTCAATGTAGACATCAGAATTGATCGTTCGGTTGGGTGGTAAGAGTTCAAAGTAGACAAGTTCCTTTGTAATCCCACCAGACTGATAAAAAAACCTTCTTTTGATGAATATCAGTTGATGTTGTTTGAGCTGGTTCACCTGGCTTGCTCCACGATCTTTTCCGCTTGATACTGTTGTAAACAACCAGTTTTTCATCGCCAGTCATCAGTCGTTTTTAAAATGGCTCATTTTCGTTGCGTTTCTCAAGCAAATCGCAGTTGTTAATGCGTTGCGTTAAATGTGTTCCTTTCAGTTTATGAGGAACCCATGTATCAAGTTTTGACATGAGCCAGCTAATTTGAAAGACGGCTCCCGCGATAGGAAGTTGTCACTGGAAGTTCTATTATGACAAGCAGTAGCTGATAAGTAGTTCCAGAAAGAAAAATAAGCGAGAGTCATCAAGACACACCGTAAGAAAATCGCGCTCGCGACAGTTACACCGTGTGTGCTCTGTGCCGCTGTGACATCAGACTGTGTCGCGTCTCTTCAGTAGTGGATATCATCGAATGCGAAGAAAAAGAAAAAACAACAAAAACATAGAGGAAAACTCTCTTGAAAAGAAAAAGAAACATTTAAAAAGCCGGCGTCCGAATTTAGGGTTACGGTAGCGTGCATATTTTAGTGTAGTGAAGTGCGTCGAGCTTTTGCACCACGAAAATTGGGTCGCTCGTGATTTTTACGCGTTTTACCTTGCGAGATGTGTTGGAGTTGACTGTATGTGCTCCTGATAAAATGTAATAAAGGAGAGCAGTCATTCATGGGCATGAGCGCTGTCGAAAAGGACATGCAATTCCGATTAATGCCCGCCGCCCCAACAAAGAACAACTGAGCTGCCCTCCGTCGGAGGGCATCTAGCAAGTGGGCGGTCCAACTGAGCGGGCGTTAGAACTAGAACTTTCAGCGGCTGTAGCTCGCTCCTCGCTCGCTGTGGAGTCGCGAGAGTGGGACAGTCTCTAGCTTGGGGGCTGTACTACTTGCACAAGGAAGGACGACCATGTACTACTCGAGCGCGGGGGCTGTCTTTAAGTGATTTTCAATGCATGTATGTGATACATGGAGCTGCATGTATGTGATACATGGAGCTTCTCTGCGATCTCACGTGTGACGATCCGAATCGATTATTGCTTTGATAAGGTCGTCATCAACTTCAACTGGACGACCAGAGCGTTCTTCATCTTTGAGTGAAAAATCACCAGAACGAAATTTGGCAAACCAATTTTGACACTGCCGTTCTTTTAAGGCTTCGTCACCATAAACAGCACATAACTTTTTGTGAGCTTGCGATGCGTTTTTCCCTTTGCGGAAATAAAAAAGTAAAATATGACGAAAATGTTCCTTTTGATGTTCCATTTTTCAACGAACGCCAAACAAAAACTATGCAACCAATCAAAAAACTTTTTGGTCGGTTGATTGATAGCTGAATCATCGACTGATAGCTAAATTGCCAACTGTCTAATAACAAAATAAGTTTTACACTTGCTCTACGTCAGCAAACCTAAAAATTCAACTGAAACCATCTATGAGTGAAATCCGCAATTACTTAGTTGCCAACCTAATAGTTTATGTGAAAGAGCAAAATCCTGCACCAACCCAATACCATTACATGAATGGAGCATAGGGATTCTCCATTTCAGCTAATAAAGTAAAGCGACCGGGGGGTTCGGCCCATTGACTGCTCCTGTTATCTTTCACAGGAGCAGTAT